TGGGAGGTAACTGGGAGCACTGGGGATTACTGGGAAGGGCTGGGGGGCACTGTGGGGTCACTGGGATGTTACTGGAGGTAACTGGGGGGTTACTGGGAGGTAACTGGGAAGGGTTGGGGGGCACTGTGGGGTTACTGGGAGGTCACTGGGGGTTACTGGGGGTTACTGGGAGGTAACTGGGAAGGGCTGGGGGGCACTAGGAGGTTACTGGGATGTTACTGGGAGGTAACTGGGGGTAACTGGGGGGTTACTGGGAGCACTGGTGAGGCCTTGATGGGTCAGACCTGGAGTTCCTGGAGGTGCTGACGGAGGGGCTGGGGAGCACTGGGGGTTACTGGGAGGCAACTGGGAAGGGCTGGGGGGCACTGTGGGGTTACTGGGAGGTTACTGGGATGTTACTGGGAGGCACTGGGAGCACTGGTGAGGCCTTGACGGGTCAGACCTGGAGTTCCTGGAGGTGCTGACGGAGGGGCTGGGGAGCACTGGGGGTTACTGGGAGGTAACTGGGAAGGGCTGGGGGGCACTGTGGGGTTACTGGGATGTTACTGGGAGGTTACTGGGAGGTTACTGGGGGTCACTGGGAGCACTGGTGAGGCCTTGACGGGTCAGACCTGGAGTTCCTGGAGGTGCTGACGGAGGGGCTGGGGCCGGTGCTGCTCGTGCGGGGGGGGGACGGAGACGGGGACCCCCCCCAGCCCTGACGGACCAGTACGGACCAGTACGGACCAGTATGGACCAGTATGGACCAGTATGGATCAGAACAGACTGCCCAGCGAGCTCCCAGTACGGCCCAGTGCTCCCAGGATGGATCCCAGTGCTCCCAGTATGGCACCAGTGCTCCCAGGATGGATCCCAGTGCTCCCAGGATCGACCTCCCCAGCCCTGACGGACCAGTACGGACCAGTACGGACCAGTACGGACCAGTATGGACCAGAACAGACTACCCAGCGAGCTCCCAGTACAGCCCAGTGCTCCCAGTATGGCACCAGTGCTCCCAGGATGGACCCCAGTGCTCCCAGTATGGCCCAGTGCTCCCAGGATGGACCCCAGTGCTCCCAGGATGGATCCCAGTACTCCCAGTATGGCACCAGTGCTCCCAGGATCGACCTCCCCCAGCCCTGACGGACCAGTACGGACCAGTACGGACCAGTACGGACCAGTACGGACCAGTATGGACCAGTACGGATCAGAACAGACTGCCCAGCGAGCTCCCAGTACGGCCCAGTGCTCCCAGGATGGATCCCAGTGCTCCCAGTATGGCACCAGTGCTCCCAGGATCGACCTCCCCCAGCCCTGACGGACCAGTACGGACCAGTATGGACCAGTATGGACCAGTACGGACCAGTACGGACCAGTATGGACTGCCCAGCGAGCTCCCAGTACGGCCCAGTGCTCCCAGTATGGCACCAGTGCTCCCAGGATCGACCTTCCCCCCAGCCCTGACGGACCAGTACGGACCAGTATGGACCAGTATGGACCAGTATGGACCAGTACGGATCAGAACAGACTGCCCAGCGAGCTCCCAGTATGGACCCCAGTGCTCCCAGTATGGCACCAGTGCTCCCAGGATCGACCTCCCTGCAGCCCTGACGGACCAGTACGGACCAGTATGGACCAGTACGGACCAGTACGGACCAGTACGGATCAGAACAGACTGCCCAGCGAGCTCCCAGTACAGCACCAGTGCTCCCAGGATGGATCCCAGTGCTCCAAGAATCAACCTCCCCCCAGCCCTGATGGACCAGTATGGACCAGTATGGACCAGTACGGACCAGTACGGACCAGTACGGACCAGGACGGATCAGAACAGACTGCCCAGCGAGCTCCCAGTACGGCCCAGTGCTCCCAGGATGGATCCCAGTGCTCCCAGTACGGCCCAGTGCTCCCAGAATGGATCCCAGTGCTCCCAGGATGGACCCCCCCCAGCCCTGATGGACCAGTATGGACCAGTATGGACCAGTACGGACCAGTATGGACCAGTACGGACCAGTACGGATCAGAGCAGACTGCCCAGTGAGCTCCCAGTACAGCACCAGTGCTCCCAGTATGAGCTGCCAGACTCCCAGTATAGTCCCAGTCAGGCTCCAGTGCACTCCCAGTAAGGACCCAGCGCTCCCAGTAAGAGTCCAAAGGCTCCCAGTAAGGGCCCAGTGCTCCCAGTAAAGCTCCCAGTAAGGGCCCAAAGGCTCCCAGTTTGGTCCCAGTGCTCCCAGTAAAGCTCCCAGTAAGGGCCCAAAGGCTCCCAGTTTGGCCCCAGCACTCCCAGTTTGGCCCCAGCGCTCCCAGTTTGGTCCCAGTGCTCCCAGTAAAGCTCCCAGTTTGGTCCCAGTGCTCCCAGTTTGGTCCCAGTGCTCCCAGTTTGGCCCTGGGGCCCCTTTTTGCTCTTTGTTTTTGCACTGTGATGTCACCAAAGACCCTCAATAAAAACCCCCAAAAATGGGATTTGGGGTGAAAAAGGAGCGGAAAATTCCAGTTTTTGGTGGGGGAGGGGCAGAAATGGGGCGGGAATTCCCTGGGAATTGGGATTGATTGGGGATTAATTTGGGATTAATTTGGGATTTATTTATTTGGGATTAATTTGAGATTTTTTGGGGATTAATTTGGTATTTATTTGGGATTAATTTGAGATTTTTTTGGGATTTTTTTGGGATTAATTTGGGATTAATTTGGGATTAATTTGGGATTTATTTGGGATTTCTTTGGGATTTCTTTGGGATTTCTTTGAGATTTCTTTGGGATTAATTTGGGATTAATTTGGGATTTATTTGGGATTAATTTGGGATTAATTTGGGATTTATTTGGGATTTCTTTGGGATTCATTTGGGATTTCTTTGGGATTTCTTTGGGATTAATTTGACTTTTTTTGGGATTTCTTTGGGATTTCTTTGGGATTTCTTTTGAGATTTCTTTGGGATTTCTTTGGGATTTATTTGAGATTTTTTTGGGATTTATCTGGGATTTATTTGGGATTTCTTTGGGATTAATTTGGGATTTATTTGGGATTAACTGAGGCACCAAACGTGGAATAAAAACCCGGATTTTGGGTTTGGAATAAAAAAAACCCGGATTTTTGGGTTTGTAATAAAAACCCGGATTTTGGGATTTTGGGTTTGGAATAAAAACCCGGATTTTGGGTTTTGGAATAAAAACCTGGATTTTGGGTTTTGGAATAAAAACCCGGATTTTGAATTTTGGAATAAAAACCTGGATTTTGGGATTTTGGAATAAAAACCCGGATTTTGGGTTTGGAATAAAAAAAACCCGGATTTTTGGATTTTGGGTTTGGAATTAAATAAAAACCCGGATTTTGGGATTTTGGGATTTTGGGATTTTGGAATAAAAAAAACCCCGGATTTTGGGTTTGGAATAAAAACCCGGATTTTGAATTCTGGAATAAAACCTGATTTTGGTTTTGGAATAAAAACCCGGATTTTGGGTTTGGAATTAAATAAAAACCCGGATTTTGGGATTTTGGGATTTTGGAATAAAAACCCGATTTTGGGTTTGTTGCTGGGTGGGTTTGTTGGGAAAGGTGGGAAAATGGGCTTTGTTCAACCCTAAAAAACACGAGGAGGGGGAGGGTAAAAACAAAAATAAACAAATTGATTTAATTAATGATGGATAATTAAAAATGGATAAATGGGAGACAATAATTGCCAGATATAAACATGTAAATATTGAAAATTATGTGTAAATACAGGATTTACAGAAATACAAAATACACTAGAAAATGCAATTTATAAAATACGATAATATTGATTCACACATTAAATAATTTTCTTATGATAAATAATATTAATGTTATCACATGACTTTAATCGATATGAAAATAAATTCCTTAAACAGCATCGTTGAGGTCAAATAAATTAGAGTGCATAAATTTGTTGATATCAATGGAGCCAATTAATGAGGCAATGGAAGAAGGTGAAGGTGTTAATTGCACTGATTGAACAGCGCCCCAAACGTGTTGGGTGTTAATAAATTATATTAAATTATATTAAATTAAATGTTTGTTGATTCGTGCAGTTTAAGGCAGGAACACGTGGAGCGGTTAATTAAGTGTGGAGTGATAATTAATTGGTGGTTGTTTATAGTGGTGATGTAATGGAATGGGCAATAAATGATTGGGGATTATTTGTGATTACAAACAGCTTCGAAGTACTGACAGGAGAGGACAACAAACAGTAAGTAACAAATAAAAATAATAAATAACAAGTAATAAATAGTAAATTATAAGTAATCAAAAATGAGTAGTAACACACAATAAACAACAATTAAATAAATGTCAAATAATAAATATCAAATAACAAGTAAATAGTTAATAAATTGGTTGATAAATAACACAATAAGTATTGAATAATCAATGTCAGTAAGTATCAAATAGTAATAATTAATGAATAATAAACACTAAATAGTAAATACCACACGATATATATTAAGTAACAAGTGTCAATTAATGTATGAAATAATAATAAACAATGAACAATAACAAATAATAAATAACGCAGTAATGTCAAATAATAATTAATAGGCATCAAATAATAACAAATAGTAAATAATAAACAGTGAATGATAAACAACAAATAATAAACAATGCAGTAATGCCAAATAATAAACGCCAATTAATAAGAATCAAATAATAACAAATAATGAATAATAAACAATGAATAATAAACAATACACAATATGTGTCAAATAATAAATGTCAATTAATAACTATAAAGTAATAAAAAATAATGAGTTATAAGCAACAAATAATAAATAACAAACCAACAAGGCCCAAACCACCCCAGTGGTCCCCAAAGCGCCCCCAAACCCACCCTCTGTCTTCGGTGATGTCATCACAGTGACGTAATCGCTCAGTGACGTCATCCCGCCCCTGTAACCAAGGGAGGGTCACAACGAGGGGGCGGGGCCAACCCGGTAGCGCGCGATTATGGGCGTGGCTAAAGCGAAGGGGCGGAGCCAACGCCGCGCTGACGTCATTGCGGCGCGCGGGGTGGGCGTGTCCCGCGGCCCAAGATGGCGGCGCTGTGGGTCCTGTGGGCGCTCGCGGGGGTCGCGCTGGGCCCGGGGGGCGTCGGGGCCGCCGAGCGGGTCCCGCTGCTCGTCTGGTCCACGGAGAGGTGGGGAGAGGCCGGGGGGGGATCCGGGGGTTGTTTTTGGGGAGGGGCGCTGAGGGGAATTGGGGGGCTTTTGGGGTGGCTCTTGGGGGTTCTGGGGTCTTTCTTGGGGTGGGAGGGAGCTGAGGGGCTGGGGGGGCCGTTCTGGGGGGATTTGGGGTTTCCAGGGGGTTGTGGGGCGGGTCTCTGAGGGGTGTTGGGGAATTTGGGGACCTCTGGGGGTTTTTGGGGGGTCTCTGGGTGGTTTTGGGGGTCTCTGGGTGGTTTTTGGGGGTCTCTGGGTGGTTTTGGGGGGTCTCTGGGTGGTTTTGGGGTTCTCTGGGTGGTTTGGGATTCTCTGGGTGGTTTTTGGGGTTCTCTGGGTGGTTTTGGGATTCTCTGGGTGGTTTTGGGGGTTCTCTGGGTGGTTTTTGGGGTTCTCTGGGTGGTTTTTGGGGTTCTCTGGGTGGTTTTGGGAGTCTCTGGGTGGTTTTGGGGTTCTCAGGATGGTTTTTGGGGTTGTTCTGGGTGGTTTTTGGGGTTCAGGGTGGTTTTGGGGGTTCAGGGCTGGTTTTTGGGGGTTCTAGGGTGGTTTTAAGGGGTTTCTGGGTGGTTTTGGGGGTTTCAGGGTGGTTTTGGGGTCTCAGGGATGGTTTTTGGGGTTCAGGGATGGTTTTTGGGGTTCAGGGATGGTTTTTGGGGTGGTTTTTGGGGTTCAGGGATGGTTTTTGGGGTTCAGGGATGGTTTTTGGGGTTCAGGGATGGTTTTTGGGGTGGTTTTTGGGGTTCAGGGATGGTTTTTGGGGTTGGGGTGGTTTTTGGGGTTCAGGGTGGTTTTTGGGGTTCAGGGGTGGTTTTTGGGGTTCAGGGATGGTTTTTGGGGTGGTTTTTGGGGTGGTTTTTGGGGTTCAGGGATGGTTTTGGGTGGTTCTCTGGGTGGTTTTGGGGTTCTCTGGGTGGTTTTGGGGTTCTCTGGGTGGTTTTTGGGGGTTCTCTGGGTGGCTTTGGGGTTCTCTGGGTGGGCTTGGGGGTTCTCTGGGTGGTTTTTGGGGGGTCTCTGGGTGGCTTTGGGGTTCTCTGGGTGGTTTTTTGGGGTTCTCTGGGTGGTTTTTGGGGCTGCCCTGGTGGTTTTGGGGTTCTCTGGGTGGTTTTGGGGGTTCTCTAGGTGGTTTTTGGGGTTCTCTGGGTGGTTTTTTGGGGTTCTCTGGGTGGTTTTTGGGGGGTCTCTGGGTGGTTTTGGGGGTCTCTGGGTGATTTTGGGGTTCTCTGGGTGGTTTTTTGGGGTTCTCTGGGTGGTTTTTGGGGTCTCTGGGTGGTTTTGGGGTTCTCTGGGTGATTTTTTGAGGGTCTCTGTGTGGTTTTTGAGGATCTCTGGGTGGGTTTGGGGTGTCCAGGGGTTCTCTGGGTGATTTTGGGGGTGCCTGGATGTGTTTGGGGGTCCCTGACCCCCCTGTCCCCCCCCAGGTCGCTGTGGCCCCCCCTGGCTGCCCCCCCGGGGGGTCGGGTGGTGTCGGAGGAGCAGCTGGAGGAGCTGCTGACCCCGGGGCTGATCCGCGGGCCCCGCACGGTGCTGCTCTTCCTGCAGGACCAGGTGACCCCCAGGGACCCCCCCAAACCCCCCTGAGCCTTTACAGACCCCCCATAACCTTTACAGACCCCCCCCAAACCCCCAGGGACCCCCCAAAACCTGTACAGCTGGAGCTGCTGACCCCCAGGGCTGCCCGCGGGCCCCGCACGGTGCTGCTCTTCCTGCAGGACCAGGTGACCCCAGGGACCCCCCAAGACCCCCAAACATTTACAGACCCCCTGAACCTTTACAGACCCCCAAACCCCCTGAGCCTTTACAGACCCCCAATACCCCCTGAACCTTTACAGAGCCCCCAAACCCCCTGAGCCTTTACAGACCCCCTGAACCTTTACAGACCCCCAGCCCCCGCACGGTGCTGCTCTTCCTGCAGGACCAGGTGACCCCAGGGACACCCCCAAACCCCCAGGGACCCCCAAACATTTACAGACCCCCTGAACCTTTACAGACCCCCTGAGCCTTCACAGACCCCCAACCCCCCAGACCCCCGCACGGTGCTGCTCTTCCTGCAGGACCAGGTGACCCCAGGGACCCCCAGGGACACCCCCAAACCCCACAGACCCCCAAAGCCCCCTGAGCCTTTACAGACCCTCCAAACCCCTGAACCTTTACAGACCCCCAAACACTTACAGAGCCCCCACGGTGCTGCTCTTCCTGCAGGACCAGGTGACCCTAGGGACCCCCAAGCCCCCAGGACACCCCCAAACCCCCTGAGCCTTTACAGACCCCCTCAAGCCCTACAGACCCTCAGCCTCCCCAGACCCCCGCACGGTGCTGCTCTTCCTGCAGGACCAGGTGGACCCCAGACCCCCAGGGACCCCCAAACCTCACAGGGACCCCCAAACCCCTGAGCCTTTACAGACCCCCAAACCCCCAGGGACCCCCAAACCCCCTGAGCCTTTACAGACCCCCTGAGCCTTTACAGACCCCCCAACCACCCCACAGACCCCCGCACGGTGCTGCTCTTCCTGCAGGACCAGGTGACCCCAGGGACCCCCAAACCCCCAGACCTTTACAGACCCCCTGAACCTTTACAGACCCCCCAAACCCACACAGACCCCCGCACGGTGCTGCTCTTCCTGCAGGACCAGGTGACCCCCAGGGACCCCCAAAGCCCCCCAAACATTTACAGACCCCTGAACCTTTACAGACCCCCAAACCCACCCAGCCCCCGCACCGTGCTGCTCTTCCTGCAGGACCAGGTGACCCCCAGGGACACCCAGGACCCCCAAACCCCAGGGACCCCCAAACATTTACAGACCCCTGAGCCTTTACAGACCCCCTCAAACCTCACACAGACCCCCGCACGGTGCTGCTCTTCCTGCAGGACCAGGTGGGACCCCAAACCCCTAGTCAGAGACCCCCCCAAAGCCCACTACAGACCCCCAGCCCACAGCCCCCGCACGGTGCTGCTCTTCCTGCAGGACCAGGTGGGACCCCCAGGGACCCCCAAACATTTACAGACACCCCTGAGCCTTCACAGACCCCCAGCCCCCTCGCACGGTGCTGCTCTTCCTGCAGGACCAGGTAGGACCCCGACCCCAGGGACCCCCAAACATTTACAGACCCCTGAACCTACAGACCCCCAAACCCTCTGAGCCTTTACAGACCCCCCAAACCTTCACGAGCCCCCCACACGGTGCTGCTCTTCCTGCAGGACCAGGTGGGACCCTAAACCCCCAGGGACCCCCAAACCCCTCAGGGACCCCCAAACCCCCATAACCTTTACAGACCCCCTAAACATCATACAGACCCCCAGAACCTCACACAGACCCCCTGAACCTTTACAGACCCCCCAAACCCCCAACTCCCACCGTGCTGCTCTTCCTGCAGGACAGGTGGGACCCCCAAACCCCTCCTGGGACCCCCAAACCTTTACAGAGCCTCAGACCCCCAAACCCACAGAGACCCCTTCGCCCCTGCCCCCAACCCACAGAAACCCCTCCCCGACCTCCCAAACCCACAGAGACCCTCCCCCAAACCCACAGAGACCCCCAGACCCCCAAACCTACAGAGACCCCTCCCCCGCCCTCCCAAACCCACAGAGACCCTCCCCCAAACCCACAGAGACCCCTCCCCTCGCCCCCCAAACCCACAGAACCTCCCCCAAACCCAGAGACTCTCCTCAGACCCCCTGCAGAACCCCACAACCCCCAAACCCAGGAGACCTCCCCAGACCCCCAAACCCACAGAGACCCTCTGCCCCCAACCTACAGAACCCCACAGAGCCCCCAGACCCAGAGACCCTCCGTGACCCCAAACTCACGAGACCCTCTGGCCTCAAACCCACAGGGACCCTCCTCCGCCCCCAAATCTAGGACCCCAAACCCACAGAGACCCTCCCAGCCCCCAAACCAGAGACCCTCCCCCGCCCCCAGACTAGAGACCCTCCACCGACCCCCAAACCCAGAGACTCCGACTCCCACCTCCAGACCCCAGGCTCCCTCACCAGCCTCCCTCTCTCTCTTCTGGCCCCTCCCCTCCGTTTGGCCTCCTTTCCTCTGGCCCCGCCCTGACGTGCCCCTCCCCAGCTGAGCCTGGAGGATTTCACGGCCTTTGGGGGCGTTTTTGGGAACGAACCCGGCAGGGCCTTCACCCAGACTGCAGGTGGGGGGGGCACGGAGGCTTGGGGGTCCTGGGGTATGTTTGGGGGTCCTGAGGTCTGGGGAAGATGTGGGGATCTTTGGGGGTCCTGGGGGAGGTTGGGGGTCCTGGGGTATGTTTGGGGGTCCTGAGGGGCCTGGAGTGTTTGGGAGGTCCTGAGGGACCTGGGGGTCTTGAGGGAGTGTTTGGGAGGTCCTGGAGGAGTCAGAGAGTGTCTGGGGGTCCTGGGGGGTGGGGTCCTGGGGGCATGTTTGGGGGTCCTGAGGGGTCTGGGGGGCGTGGGGAGTGTTTGGTGAGGTCCTGGGGATTTGAGGGTCCTGGGGAGGCTTGGGGGCTTGGGAGGTTGGGAAGGTCCTGGGGGGATTTGGGGGACCTGGGGGTGTTTGAGGGTCTGAGGGTGTGTTGGGGGTCCTGAGGGTGTTGCGGGGGTCCTGGGGGAGTGTTTGGGAGGTCCTAGGGGGTTTATGGGTCGGGGTTGAGGGACTTTGAGGGTCTGGGGATAGGTTTGAGGGGGCTTGGGGGTGTTTGGGGGCTCTTCGAGGGTTTGGAGGAGTCCTGGGGGATTTTGGGGGGATCCTGGGGGGATTTGAGGGTCCTGGGGATGTTTGGGGGTCCTGTGGGCTCTGGGGGTCCTGGGGGTGTTGGGGGTCCTGGGAGTGTTTGGGGGGGTCATGGAAGGGTTTGGGGGTCCTAGTGGGTCCTGGGGGTGTTTGGGGGTCCTGGGGGGCTTGAGGAGATTTGGGGGGGTCCTGGGAGGGATTTGGGGGTCCTGGGGTGGGCTTGGGGGGCTTGGGGGGAGGTTGGGAGGTCCTGGGGTGGGGGATTTGAGGGGTCCTGGGGAGCTTGGGGGGTTTGGGGGTCTTGGGGTTGGTGGGAGGTCCTGGGGGTTTTGGAGGGGTCTGGGGTTGTTTGGGGGGTCAAGGAAATGGTTGGGGGTGTTTGTGGGGGTCTTGGAGGCATCCTGGGTGGGCTTGGGGAGGTTTGGGGAGTCCTGGGGGGTTTGTGGGGGGTTTGGAGGGGTCCTGGGTGAGCTTGGGGGAGGTTTGGGGGTCCTGGGGGTTTGGGGGGGTTTGGAGGGGGTCCTGGGTGGGCTTGGGGGAGGTTGGGAGGTCCTGGGGGGATTTGAGGGGGTCCTGGGGGGCTTGGGGGTCCTGGGGGGGATTTGGGGGTTCTGGGGACCTTGGGAGGGGATCCTGGGGGCTTGAGGAGGTTTGGGGGGGTCCTGGGGGGATCTGGGGGGTCCTGGGGGCCTTGGGGGAGCCTGGGGGTCTTGGGGGGACTTGGGGGGTCCTGGGAGCCTTGGGGGGGTCCTGGGGCTTAGGGAGGTTTGGGGGTCCCTGGGACATTGGGGAGGGGGATAATGGGGGGTCCTGGGGAAGTTTGGGGGGTCCTTGATCGGGGTTGTCACTGCTGTTTTGGGGGTCTCTGAGGGGGTCTCTGGGGGTGTTTTTGGGGTCCATGGTTATTTGGGGGTGTTTTTGGGGTCTGTGTTTATTTGGGGAGGTTTTTGGGGTCTATGGTTATTTGGGGGGTGTTTTGGGGTCTGTGTTTATTTGGGGAGGTTTTTGGGGTCCCCCTGACCCCCCCTCGTTCCAGGGTGCCCTGGGCTCTGTGGGGTCGTCACTGATGTTTTGGGGGTCTCTGGGGGTGTTTTTGGGGTCTCTGGGGGTGTTTTTGGGGTCAGTGGTTATTTGGGGGTGTTTTTGGGGTCTGTGTTTATTTGGGGGGGTGTTTTGGGGTCCCCCCTGACCCCCCCTTTATTCCAGGGTGCCCTGGGCTCTGTGGGATTGTCACTGATGTTTTGGGGGTCTCTGGGGGTTTGGGGTGTTTTGGGGTCAGTGGTTATTTGGGGGGTGTTTTGGGGTCTGTGGTTATTTGGGGATGTTTTTGGGGTCTGTGGTTATTTGGGGAGGTTTTTGGGGTCTGTATTTTTTTGGGGGGTGTTTTTGGGGTCTGTGTTTATTTGGGGGTGTTTTAGGGTCCCCTGACCCCTTTATTCCAGGGTGCCCTGGGCTCTGTGGGGTCATCACTGATGTTTTGGGGGTCTCTGGGGGTGTTTTGGGGTCTCTGGGGTGTTTTTGGGGTCTGTATTTTTGGGGGTGTTTTGGGGTCTGTAATTTTTTGGGGGGTGTTTTTGGGGTCTGTATTTTTTTGGGGGGGTGTTTTGGGGTCCCCCTGACCCCCCCTTTATTCCAGGGTGCCCTGGGCTCTGCGGGGTCGTTGCTGGTGTTTTGGGGGTCTCTGGGGGTGTTTTGGGGTCTCTGGGGTGTTTTTGGGGTCTGTGTTTATTTGGGGGTGTTTTTGGGGTCCATGGTTATTTGGGGGGTGTTTTTGGGGTCTGTGGTTATTTGGGGTTGTTTTGGGGGTCTGTGGTTATTTGGGGAGGTTTTTGGGGTCTGTGGTTATTTGGGGATGTTTTTGGGGTCTGTGTTTTTTTGGGGGGGTGTTTTGGGGTCCCCTGACCCCTCCTCATTCCAGGGTGCCCTGGGCTCTGCGGGGTCGTTGCTGGTGTTTTGGGGGTCTCTGGGGGGGTGTTTTTGGGGTCTGTGGTTATTTGGGTGGTGTTTTTGGGGTCTGTATTTTTTTAGGGGTGTTTTTGGGGTCTGTGTTTATTTGGGGGGTGTTTTGGGGTCCCTCCTGACCCCCCCTCGTTCCAGGGTGCCCTGGGCTCAGCGGGGTCGTCACTGATGTTTTGGGGGTCTCTGGGGGGTTTGGGGGTCTCTAGGGGATGTTTTGGGGGTCTCTGGGGGGGTGTTTTGGGGTCCGTGGTTATTTGGGAGGTGATTTTTGGGGTCTGTGATATTTTTGGGGGGTGTTTTGGGGTCCCCCCTGACCCCCCCTCGTTCCAGGGTGCCCTGGGCTCTGCGGGGTCGTCGCTGGTGTTTTGGGGGTCTCTGGGGGGTTTTTGGGGTCCGTGGTTATTTTGGGGTGTTTTGGGGTCTGTGGTTATTTGGGGGGGTGTTTTGGGGTCTGTGTTTATTTAGGGAGGTTTTTGGGGTCCCCCCTGACCCCCCCCTCATTCCAGGGTGCCCTGGGCTCAGCGGGGTCGTCACTGATGTTTTGGGGGTCTCTGGGGGGGTTTTGGGGTCTGTGGTTATTTTGGGGGAGGTTTTTGGGGTCAGTGGTTATTTGGGGGGTGTTTTGGGGTCTGTGGTTATTTGGGGAGGTTTTTGGGGTCTGTGGTTATTTGGGGGTGTTCTTGGGGTCTGTATTTTTTGGGGGGTGTTTTGGGGTCCCCCCTGACCCCCCCCTCGTTCAAGGGTGCCCTGGGCTCTGTGGGGTCGTCACTGATGTTTTGGGGGTCTCTGGGGGGGTTTTGGGGGTGTTTTGGGGTCCGTGGTTATTTGGGGATGTTTTTGGGGTCTGTGTTTATTTGGGGAGGTTTTTGGGGTCCCCCCTGACCCCCCCTTTATTCCAGGGTGCCCTGGGCTCAGCGGGGTCATCGCTGATGTTTTGGGGGTCTCTGGGGGTGTTTTTGGGGTCTGTGGTTATTTGGGGGGTGTTTTGGGGTCCGTGGTTATTTGGGGAGGTTTTTGGGGTCCCCCCTGACCCCCCCTTTATTCCAGGGTGCCCTGGGCTCAGCGGGGTCGTCACTGATGTTTTGGGGGTCTCTGCGGGTGTTTTTGGGGTCTGTGGTTATTTTGGGGGGTGTTTTTGGGGTCTGTGTTTATTTGGGGGTGTTTTTGGGGTCTGTGTTATTTTGGGGAGGTTTTTGGGGTCCCCCTGACCCCCCCTTTATTCCAGGGTGCCCTGGGCTCTGTGGGGTCATCACTGATGTTTTGGGGGTCTCTGGGGGGGTTTTTGGGGTCTGTGGTTATTTGGGGGGGTTTTGGGGTCCGTGGTTATTTGGGGAGGTTTTTGGGGTCTGTATTTTTTTTGGGGGGTGCTTTGGGGTCCCCCCTTACCCCCCCCTCATTCCAGGGTACCCCAGGCTCTGCGGGGTCGTCACTGATGTTTTGGGGGTCTCTGGGGGTGTTTTGGGGTCTGTGTTTATTTGGGGAGTGTTTTTGGGGTCCGTGGTTATTTGGGGGTGTTTTTGGGGTCAGTGTTTATTTGGGGGGGTGTTTTGGGGTCAGTGTTTATTTGGGGGGGTGTTTTGGGGTCCCCCCTGACCCCCCCTTTATTCCAGGGTGCCCTGGGCTCTGCGGGGTCGTCACTGATGTTTTGGGGGTCTCTGGGGGTGTTTTGGGGGTCTCTGGGGGTGTTTTGGGGAGGTTTTTGGGGTCTGTGGTTTTTTGGGGGGTGTTTTTGGGGTCTGTGTTTATTTGGGGTGTTTGGGGTCCCCTGACCCTCGTTCCAGGGTGCCCTGGGCTCAGCGGGGTCGTCGCTGATGTTTTGGGGGTCTCTTGGGGGGTGTTTTGGGAGTCTCTGGGGGTGTTTTTGGGGTCTGTGTTTATTTGGGGGTGTTTTTGGGGTCTGTATTTTTTTAGGGGTGTTTTTGGGGTCTGTGGTTATTTGGGGGGTGTTTTTGGGGTCTGTATTTTTTTAGGGGTGTTTTTGGGGTCTGTGGTTATTTGAGGTGTTTTGGGGTCTGTATTTTTAGGGGTTTTTGGGGTCTGTGGTTATTTGGGGGTGTTTTGGGGTCTGTGTTTATTTGGAGGGTGTTTTGGGGTCCCCCTGACCCCCCTTCATTCCAGGGTGCCCTGGGCTCAGCGGAGTCGTCACTGGTGTTTTGGGGGTCTCTGGGGGTGTTTTAGGGGTCTCTGGGGGTGTTTTTGGGGTCTGTGTTTATTTGGGGGTGTTTTTGGGGTCTGTAATTTTTTGGGGGGTGTTTTTGGGGTCTGTGGTTATTTGGGGGTGTTTTTGGGGTCTGTGTTTATTTGGGGGTGTTTTTGGGGTCTGTAATTTTTTGGGGGTGTTTTTGGGGTCTGTAGTTTATTTGGGGGTGTTTTTGGGGTCTGTGGTTATTTGGGGGGTGTTTTTGGGGTCTGTGTTTATTTGGGGGGTGTTTTGGGGTCCCCCCTAAGCCCTCTCTTCATTCCAGGGTGCCCTGGGCTCAGCGGGGTCGTCGCTGGTGCTGCCGAGGAGTCTCGAGGGTTTTGGGGTGTTTTGGGGGTCTGTGGTTATTTAGGGGTGTTTTGGGGTCCGTGGTTATTTGGGGGTGTTTGGGGTCTGTATTTTTTGGGGGTGTTTAGGGTCCCTCTGACTCTTATTCCAGGGTGCCCTAGGCTCAGCGGAGTCGTCACTGATGTTTTGGGGGTCTCTGGGGAGTGTTTTGGGGTCTGTGGTTATTTGGGGTGTTTTTGGGGTCTGTAATTTTTTGGGGGTGTTTTGGGGTCTGTATTTTTTGGGGGTGTTTTGGGGTCCCCTAGCCCTCTCGTTCCAGGGTGCCCTGGGCTCAGCGGGGTCGTCGCTGGTGTTTTGGGGGTCTCTGGGGGTGTTTTGGGGGTCTGTGTTTATTTGGGGAGGTTTTTGGGGTCTGTGGTTATTTGGGGGGTGTTTTTGGGGTCTGTGTTTATTTGGGGGTGTTTTGGGGGTCTGTGGTTTTTTGGGGAGGTTTTTGGGGTCTGTGGTTTTTTGGGGAGGTTTTTGGGGTCTGTATTTTTGGGGGTGTTTTTGGGGTCTGTGTTTATTTGGGGGGTGTTTTGGGGTCCCCCCCTGACCCCCCCTCGTTCCAGGGTGCCCTGGGCTCTGTGGGGTTGTCGCTGGTGTTTTGGGGGTCTCTGGGGGTGTTTTTGGGGTCTGTGTTTATTTGGGGGTGTTTTTGGGGTCTGTGTTTATTTGGGGGAGTTGTTTGGGATCCTCTGACCCCCTCGTTCCAGGGTGCCCTGGGCTCAGCGGGGTCGTCGCTGGTGCTGCCGGGGGTCTCTGGGGGGGCTCTGGGGTCGCTGCCCCTGACCCTGCAGAGGGCCCTGGGGGCCCCTCCCCTGCGCCTGCCCGGGGGGGTCCTGGGGGGGCTTCGGCTCAACCGCTCCGACCCCGCCCTGCTCGTCGTGGGGCTGCCCCACAGCCTGAGGTGAGACCCCCAGAGACCCCCAGAGACCCCCAGAGAGACCCCAACCCCATAGAAACCCCCAGAGAGACCCCCACCCCATAGAGACCCCCACAGACCCCCACAGCTCAACTGCTCCGACCCCGCCCTGCTCGTCGTGGGGCTGCCCCACAGCCTGAGGTGAGACCCCCAGAGACCCCCAGAGACCCCACCCCATAGAGAGACCCCAGAGAGACCCCCAGAGGGACCCCACCCCATAGAGACCCCATAGAGACCCCCAACCCCATAGAGACCCCCAGAGACCCCCACAGCTCAACCGCTCCGACCCCGCCCTGCTCGTCGTAGGGCTGCCCCACAGCGTGAGTGAGACCCCACCCCATAGAGACCCCCAAGAGACCCCCAACCCATGAGAGACCCCCAACCCCATAGAGAGCCCCACCCCATAGAGAGACCCCACCCCACAGAGAGCCCCCAGAGAGACCCCAGAGACCCCCAACCCCATAGAGACCCCCACCCCTAGAGAGACTCCCACCCCATAGAGACCCCAGAGAGACCCCAACCCCATAGAGAGACCCCAGAGACCCCCAACCCCATAGAGAGACCCCAGAGCCCCAACCCCATAGAGACCCCAGAGACCCCCACCCATAGAGAGACCCCCACCCCATAGAGACCCCCAGAGACCCCCACCCCATAGAGACCCCCATAGAGACCCCCAGCTCAACCGCTCCGACCCCGCCCTGCTCGTCGTGGGGCTGCCCCACAGCCTGAGGTGAGACCCCAGAGACCCCAGAGACCCCCACCACATAGAGAGCCCCACCCCCAGAGAGACCCCAGAGACCCCAACCCATAGAGAGACCCCCATAGAGACCCCCTACAGACCCCCCAGCTCAACCGCTCCGACCCCGCCCTGCTCGTCGTGGGGCTGCCCCACAGCCTGAGGTGAGACCCCCAGAGACCCCCACCCCATGAGAGACCCCCACCCCATAGAGAGACCCCCAGAGACCCCACCCCATAGAGGACCCCCAACCCCATAGAGACCCCCAGAGACCCCCAGCTCAACCGCTCCGACCCCGCCCTGCTCGTCGTAGGGGCTGCCCCACAGCGTGAGGTGAGACCCCCCAGAGACCCCCAACCCATAGAAACCCCCAGAGACCCCCAGAGACACCCCCAACCCCATAGAGACCCCCAACCCCATAGAGACCCCCAGCTCAACCGCTCCGACCCCGCCCTGCTCGTCGTGGGGCTGCCCCACAGCGTGAGGTGAGACCCCAGAGACCCCCAGAGACCCCACCCTGAGAGACCCCCAGAGACCCCATAGAAACCCCCATAGAGACCCCCACCCCATAGAGACCCCCACAGACCCCCCCACAGCTCAACTGCTCCGACCCCGCCCTGCTCGTCGTAGGGGCTGCCCCACAGCGTGAGTGAGACCCCAGAGACCCCCAGAGACCCCCACCCCATAGAGAGACCCCCAGAGAGACCCCTAGAGAGACCCCCAACCCCATAGAGACCCCCATAGAGACCCCCAACCCCATAGAGACCCCACCCCAGAGAGACCCCCAAGCTCAACCGCTCCGACCCCGCCCTGCTCGTCGTGGGGCTGCCCACAGCATGGTGAGACCCCAGAGACCCCAGAGACCCCCAACCCCATAGAGACCCCCAGAGACCCCCAGAGACCCCAACCCCATAGAGACCCCCAACCCCATAGAGACCCCCATAGAGACCCCCCAGCTCAACCGCTCCGACCCCGCCCCTGCTCGTCGTGGGGCTGCCCCACAGCCTGAGGTGAGACCCCCAGAGACCCCCCCAGAGACCCCCAACCCCATAGAGAGACCCCAGAGACCCCTAGAGACCCCCAACCCCATAGAAGACCCCCAACCCCATAGAGACCCCTAGAGACCCCACCCCATAGAGACCCCCACAGACCCCCCAGCTCAACCGCTCCGACCCCGCCCTGCTCATCGTGGGGCTGCCCCACAGCGTGAGGTGAGACCCCAGAGACCCCACCCCATAGAGACCCCCAACCCCATAGAGAGACCCCACCCCATAGAGAGACCCCCAACCCCATAGAAGACCCCAACCCCATAGAGAGACCCCCAGAGAGACCCCAACCCCATAGAGACCCCAACCCCATAGAGAGACCCCAACCCCATAGGGACCCCAGAGAGACCCCCAACCCCATAGAGAGACCCCGAGACCCCCAGAGACCCCCAACCCATAGACAGACCCCACCCCATAGAGAGACCCCATAGAGACCCCCAGAGAGACCCCCACCCCATAGAAGACCCCAGAGAGACCCCCAACCCCATAGAGAGACCCCCACCCCATAGAGGACCCCCAACCCCATAGAGACCCCACCCCATAGAGACCCCCCAGACCCCATAGAGAGACCCCCACCCCATAGAGACCCCCAACCCCATAGAGAGACCCCCACCCCATAGAGAGACCCCCAACCCCATAGAGACCCCATAGAGACCCCCACCCCATAGAGACCCCCAGAGACCCCCAACCCCATGAGAGACCCCACCCCATAGAGACCCCCAACCCCATAGAGAGACCCCACCCATAGAGAGACCCCCAACCCCATAGAGAGACCCCCACCCCATAGAGACCTCATAGAGACCCCAGAGACCCCCACCCCATAGAGAGACCCCCACCCCATAGAGAGACCCCAACCCCAGAGAGACCCCCAACCCCATAGAGAGACCCCCACCCCATAGAGAGACCCCATAGAGACCCCCCATGAGAGACCCCCACCCCATAGAGAGACCCCCACCCCATAGAGACCCCCAGAGACCCCCAACCCCATAGAGAGACCCCCACAGACCCCCAACCCCACAGAGAGACCCTCACCTCATAGAGACCGTCACCCCACAGAGAGACCGCCACCCCACAGAGAGACCCCCAGCCCCATAGAGAGACCCCAACCCATAGAGACCCCCATAGAGACCCCCACCCCATAGAGAGACCCCCACCCCATAGAGACCCCCAGAGAGACCCCCAACCCCATAGAGAGACTCCCAGAGAGACCCCCACCCTGTAGAGACCCTCACAGACCCCCCGCCCCACAGCACCAGATGAGACCCCACAGAGACCCC